GTCCAGTTTGGAGTATCTGGGGAGTTCCATGTGTTCCCCCTTGATGCTACTATGGCTACAGGGACAAATTATGGCACCACAACCTGGCACCATTTTCATAAACTATATATGCACCTAGGGGTGTGCATGCCATGATTGTGAAACTCTTACACAGATATCCTGAGCATGTTGCCTGGCACCCTCAAACCTTCTCATCCTCTGTGCATTTCATACCCTTAGGGGCAGTGGCGTAAACACAACCCATGGGGCCCCGGTGCGAAAACTGACACACACAAACTAACACACACACTGACACAAAAACTAACACTATCACACACACACCCTAACACACACACACACACACACACTCTAACACTAACACACACACACACTCTAACACACACACACACACACACACACACATTCTAACAAACACACACACACACACACTCTAACACTAACACACACACACACACTGTAACACACACACTCTAACACACAAACACGCTCTAACACACACACAGAAACACACACACTCTAACACACTCATTAACACACACCCACACGTTCCTCTTTTCTACTCAGTCTCTCTTTTTTCATTTTTTTATCTGTTTCTAACTAAAATCAAAAGACAAAGTAGGGTTACCTGACTTTCTTAGACACTAGGTGGAGCTACCGCTGTCTCGATATGTCGATCCTCCCAGTCATCACCAGTTAGGCTCTGTCTGTGGGCTGCGGTATCCTCAATGCTGTTCTCTCGCATATGCACGAGAATACGGTAGTGACGTCGGCTCCTGGTGCTGAAGCTCCAGGAACAGAAGAGGACCCGCTGAAAGAAGTTTGTAGTGCCCATAAGTTACACAGATATCCTGAGCATGTTGCCTGGCACCCTCACACCTTCTCATCCTCTGTGCATTTCATACCGTTAGGGGCAGTGGCGTACACACAACCCATGGGGCCCCGGTGCGAAAACTGACACACACAAACTCTGACACACACAAGCTAAAGAAGAACTCTTCTTTCCCCGCCCCTTCCTGCCACCAGATCCTTACCGGTGATGACACCAGCAGGGGTCTTTGCAAATTCTGCAAAGTCCCCAGACAGTGACAGTGCAGCCTTAATTTAGGCAGCAAGTGCAAGAAGAGGCCTCATATGATTTTGTTGCAGACTGCCTAGCCTTTGTTTGTGCAGTAGAATATTCAACTAAATAATTATAATCTTCATTCAGAAGGACTCACTAAATGACAGGATAGCAACTAAGTATCTGTGGAATGTGGATAGTAGTTACACAAGTTATCAGGTTCATTTTATGTTGCCTTTAGCGCCCTCCGCTGGTAAAACAACTAAAACAGCCTAAAATTAGTATTTAGGACATGTAGATTATTTCTATTAAATGTTATGTTCAAAGTATATTTTGATAAGGCATAGAGGGAGAATAAGAAAATGTAAAATAGACTGTTTATAAGTAAGTACTCGTTAATATCCATACATTGGTCAGTGGTTATACCATCATCAAAATAACAGTCATCATTTTATAGTTCCATATTACTCCACAGGGAAGAACAGAAATTGAGGTGAGACATCCACTAAATAGGGGATCACATGTAAACTAGTGCTATGGTGAAAAGCGACGCCTAAACTGGTGAATGACAGTTCTAGTCTTAATGTTATGCTCTTATCAAGTTTAACATACTATACAATGGACATTGTTTTAAAATCTTGGGTTGCATCAGGAGTCACAAAAGTTGCATATATGGTAGATACGAGGGGGACCAGAAGTTTTTTCAGACATTCAGCAAAAATATGCCCTTCCATCCAAGGAGTTATTTGCGTAATTTTTAAATGTGTCTAAAACACATTTTAGAAAAGGTAAAATGGACTATATAAATGAAAAGACATTCACTAAGATTATAAAAATGAAGAAAAAAAAATGTAAAATTGACTGTTAACTGTATAAGTACTTGTTAACATCTATACATTGGTCAGTGGTTATACCGTCATCCAATTGCAGTCATCTACATTTTATAGTTCCATATGACTCCACAGGGAAGAATACAGAAATTGAGGTGAGACATCCACTGAAAAAGGGTCCACATTGAAACTAATCTACACGTGTAATTGGGACTAAAAGTAGTGGTTCCAGAGCACAGATTTTAGGCATTTACCTGGTTTATTCCAAGGGAATATTAACAAAATCTGGGTGATTGCTGTGCCTTAGGGACTGGGTTGGCAATTGCTGACTGATAGTGTGCAGCTATGCTAGACATTCCCTGCAATTTGAAACATTCCATATTTATAGAATTCCAATCAGTTCACAGTGCCATGAAAATTAACCCAACTACAAACAAGTTAGAGTACAGTGAACGTCACATATACTTGAAGACAATGAAGCCCCAAGTACTCAAAGAAACAGTTTGGTATTCACTGGGGTTCCCATATCACATGCAAATCATGTTCTAAAACGTGTATTAAAAAAACAAACATTTGGGCAATTTTCTCTCATAATCCTCTCACGGTAGTAATGATGCCCTCATTTATGATGTCTTTGAATGACGAGTCTGGTGGTGGCAAGATCTTTGTCAGGATGTACCCAACCAACACAATTCTTAGGTTAACAACTAAACAAATTTAGACCTGAATAATAAAGCATATTACCTGACCATAGAATGGCCGGTCTTAATGATATATAAAAAAGTATAACACAAGCCAAGGTCAGAAAGAAGAATAGTTGTAAGCAAATCAAGGTAAGAAAATCCAATGATATAAACAGGATAAACATTCTCTGATAACCATAAATTGGAAACCACAACAATAGCAACAGCTATTGGGGGTAAACATAACTGTAACTGGTCATTAATTGGTTGATTACACCAATATGATGTCATGACGTGTGTCTGCCCCTAGGAGGTGGAGCCTTTATAAGGCTCCGACCTACACTGGCCAGCATTTGACAAAATGCCAGAAGAAGAACCCCCCAAATGGAAAACAGACAGATGTGGTACCCTAAGCAAGTACACCAAGCGCAAAGGGACACCCTCAACACTTTCACCAGGTGGGCACAGTGACAATCTTTCTTTAAAGATAATAGCTTGTGCTCCTAATAGTAATAGTTTTTTTTCCCCTGAACTATTCCAGGAGCTGGTCGACAAAAAAGAATGTTTGATTCTTACCTTTTATTTTATTATGTGTCAGTAAAGTTATAGATCATGTCATGTACAGATGCTGATGTGACTATTATGCCTTTCATTCTGCACAATTTTTTTTTTTTAGTTTGACAATTTTTATTGGCAAACCACCAAGGTACATTACATTTTATCCCAATATATATCAGTTAAACATGACACACCAGAATGATACATCTCAATACAGAACACAGATCATACAGTAATGTGCATATGTTCAGAAATAAGCCAATTTTTTTTCTCACGGCAAGAACTAAAATAACTAAATTAATGCAACAGGAAACAAAAATTTACTCTGCGTCTTGCGAATCCGCATTGTCTCAAGTGCGACCTCCTGTGACCACTCACACCTCTCAATTTCTCTCAACCCTCCCCACTTTTTTCCCCCTGGTCAGCTGGAACTAACTAACGCTTGTTGTTGAGAATGTCCTCATAGTCTATCCAAGTTTGCCAGTTTAAGATTGTTTTCTCTCTGTGGGATCATATAGGTAATTTCATGTAATTTATTTTTGGAAACAACCATTGTGATTTTCTCTAATGAGGGCGGTGTAGGTTTTTTCCACTTTAATGCTATAAGGAATAATGTAGCTAGTATGATGTGTGTTGCCACCACTTTATGTTTCCATGTCCTATGATCCGGCATAAGCAGAAGTAGCATGGTTTCAGGGTGTAGGGGTATCGTAAACTATTTTACCTTAGTTATGAGAGATTGGACCTTGTCCCACATTCCCACCAATATGTGGATCATAGACCCCCCCCCCCGTTCCCTGCATCTCCAGCATAGTGGCGAGCACCCAGGGAAGATGCGCCCCAGTCTAGCCAGGACCATGTACCAGCGTAGGATGACCTATGTGATGCACAATGTGATATCCCTTTGAGTGCCGTGAACATTTTTTTCCACCTGGGTTTGGTAATGTCCTCCCCACAATCTTTTGACCATTCACTTGCATGTGAGCAGAGTTAGAAGGGTTCATGTGTATTTAAGGCCTGGTAACCTATCTATAGTTTTTTCCTACAATGAAGAGCTCCCATACACATCTTTTCAAAGTGTGAAATTGGTCTCCCTGCTGACCCCTGGCCTGTGCTCCTCACGTTGGATGCTAAAAGATGTTGTACTTGGATGTTTGCATAATATAGCACTCTAGGTAATTCTGCAGCATTTTAAAGAAGCTGCACTACTAAACACACCATCAGGTTTCTTGAAACACCCATGAGTAATGTTTACCATTTTTATTTGTCTCTTTATTAGTTCAATGCTAATATTTTTAGAAAATACAAACCAGATAAGCCCTAAATGGTTTTTTTTGTAGGGCATGAGAAAAAATAAATACAAATGAAAAATGTATACATTTACATAATATTAACATTGAAGGTATCTCTGATGAATAACCTATATACATAGTTATACTTCAATAATATAAATTGAAGATTTTAAATAAACTAAAATAAATAACAACATAATAACTTTGGCTGTTCATAGATCCCCTGTTGTGGACTAAATCTCCTATAATGCTCTTACAGCCATAATGCTGGCAAAGCATCAAGGGAGATGTAGTTCACAAAATTCGGAGTGCCAACGGTTGCCTACCCCTGGCTTACAGCAATAGTGCACAAATAGCTTTCTTTCTTCAAATGAAAAGAATCCCCATAAGATGATTTCACTGCTTGACTTTTGTTATAGGGCTCCGTCTTCTTGTGTACCAAATCCTGGTTCTTCACGGCGAGGTTGTTCTAATTAATTTCTTTTGCTTTGTTTTCTTGTGTTTTACTAAGAGTTTTCCTTTTTCCTGCAACCAACAATTGAAAGTGCTCTTGCACACACAGTTTTGTGTCCTTGTATTTAGCACTAATGTTTACTTTTTTATTTAAAAAAAAAAAAAAATGACAGAAAGGCTGCATATTGTGACCTGCAGAATCACATCTTTATTGCCCATATGTAAAGTGTACTTTGAAGTAATGAAAAGGGCCGCCACTGCCCATTTATATAACAAATGGCCTCTGGGATCAGCAATGCACCGCTTGGACAATGATGGATGACTAATTCTCTCCAAGTTATTGAAATTCCACAACCAGTGAAGCAGTCAGCAATTGTCAGAAAGCCAACTAAAGTTCCATTTGAAAGCAAGACCCAGAAATATAATATGGATTTACATGGCTGGAAGTTAACCAAGAGTAGTCACTTGAAAAAAAAACAAATTGTTTTCATGCAACATATGTATTATTTTCCCCTTAAAAATAAGCCTTTGTATCCTTGACGTAGCTCACCAAATTTCCTTTAAAGTACAATTAAAGGGACCAACTGTAAAATGTGAAGTCCAAACCTTGTTCATGGCTTTTTCATACAATTGATATGGGCATATATCTGTCTAACAAAAAAAAAAAAACACATTTCAGCAGTTAGTATGTCTAAGTGTTTGGTAGACACAGAGATGTGCAGTTTGATATATTAATCCTAACATCCTGGAAGCAAACACATTTTAACGTCCCTTTAAGTATTTTGTTTGCACTTTGTTTCTTCTGTTTGACATAGTTTCACTTTTTCTGTTTCTTCTTCTGGTAAAGAATAAATAAAACTCTAGTTCTTTATGTTCCCGAAAGTCAGCAGAAGTTCCTCGTCAAGTAGCAACACAATGAACTTATCAGACGTAGCAGTTCAGCCCCTACATCCTGTTAGTTTGTTTGTAGCCGTCAGGAAGCCTTATGATGGCTAGAAGAACTATGAACATTAAATGCAGGGAAGTTGTTTGTTGACTGGCTCTGCCTACTATATTTCCTATCCTACAAATGCAATCTACTAAGTCCAGAGAGGGAGTTACTGCCTTTAGGATATCAGATTCTGAATACCTAACATTAACTTCAGGAATATGCTCACAATGTCACAGTGCTAAAGATTTATTTATGTCGTGTATAGACTCAACCACAGTTTCTCCAAGACTCCATCTTCAGATGAATGACTTAACTACCTGTACTGCTTTCTATTAATTCACTATTATTGAACAGCTTGATTTTGAGGACAGATGGAGCATTTAATGTGAACAGAAGCTGATCAAGTGAGAATGCCCATGTAAAAGCCAAAAAATACAAAGCGACCCAAAAATAAATCTTTAAAAATGCAGATGCAGTAAATAACAGAATACACAGAAAACATTCATTTTTATTGATTTTCCGTTTTATAATATTGTAACATTTCTTATAATTTCCTTCAGTGCTGTTTAGTTATTTACTATGTATTAGTTCAATGATACAGGTTACTGTATTAGATGCACGAACGCCAACATAAAAAAGATGCCGGTTGCCATCCAGTCAAATCCCATGTAATTGTCCAGATCAATGAACTTATAGTTCCGTCTGAAGAAGATGTAGTGCCTTCTTCATATTGTCTATCACTGAAAACATAATAGAAGTATTATGAGGAATACTAGATGCTAATGTTTCATATATTTTGAAGCATGTACAATTTATTTGCAGGTAAGCATATATTGCATAAAGTATATAACATATACACTATAGCTTCCAGTTTGTTATGACATATTCTTGTTGAAGAACAAAAGATTTCATATCTAGCCATAGGATATGTAATCTAGCCATACAGCACTGTTACCAGCAACAAACCCAATATGACAATATTTAAGACTGTGCACCACAAACAGAGACCTTATTTACTAACCGTCTTACCATCTTGAAAATAATTGGCTGTAGGTTGTATTTTATAATTTGTCTGGTCATTTCAGAAGACCATGTTTATTCCCCAACAATCCAGGTTCTATTACATCTATCTATCTAGACTTAGCAGGGCGAATTACTCAGCAATTTTGAATATTTTGCTATTAAATGCTTTGTTAAATCAGGAAAAACTAACTTGTGCCAATGGAGTCCATAGTTAAATTAATAATTTAGCTAAATCCTTTATTAAAATAATTGGGTTACTAATAGCTACTTTGAAGTTTCATACATTAACTAACTAGCATGGTAAGACACATATAAGGACACATAATTAGGACAATATTAAAACACATTATGCACATTTCCAATAGCAAGTGACCCCTTAGTGTTTAAAAACGTATTACTGTAGATGGTCATTTTCTTTTCATTTGAAATTTACCTTTGGTCTGTTATTTACTCACATGTAGTATAAAATAAAATTATATTTATTCGTACCAAGTCAAAAAAATCTCCATACGTTAAGCATTCACTGTATATAATAACATTGAAATTAGTACATTAAAAAAAAAAAAGGATATTGACTCAATAAGCCGTACTCGGAATGATAGCCCACACTGTATTATCAACCTTTTTCTAATCAAGCGATGGGTAACCAAATAGGCGGGAGGGCTGTCTTTATTTGGCCTGGGGAGTGGAGGGGGTAATTGCAAACAAATAGCCCAATTTGAGACATACCCAGCACACTGCCCCACCCCACTCCATTTCCCTTTCTTAAAGTAATATTAAATATTTTATATCAGTACAGTGTCAGAACATTAAACTGGAAGAATTACAAAACAATAATTGTAAAAAAAAAAACTGTTACATAAAATATGTTAGTATTATGGTGATGTAAGGCAGCATCCTATAGTCCATTCTATGTAAGTAGGCTGGGGTCAATAGAACCCCTGCCCTCCTTGCTAGCCTTCTACAGCTTATGCACTTTAGCTGTTGTGGACTACTTTTCCCATGATGCTTAACTAGCCAAATAGGTATACATAGTTAACAATAGCTAGAGCATTAGAGGTAAATCATCACAGTGTCACATCAATAGGTCCATATGTTTTGTGGTTGGTGTCCATTACAAGGCAGCACAAATGTTGGTAGATAATACTTACACAACGGTAAATCATTTGGCTCATATGTATAAAGACGGTTAGAATATCTGCCTGTAATATCAGCTCTAACTGTAAGAGATGGATCTGTAAAACAAAGCAGAATTTTATTTAAGTAGCTTAAAACAGCAACAATTTTTCACAATTACGTTTATATTCTCCAGTGCTGGTAAGTGGATGCAAGTAAAAAATGGCCCAGAACTCTTCCAAAAGTGTACAGTGCTGTTCATTAGTGTAGAGTAGAGATTACAAATATTGGCAACATTTCAACTAACAAAGTAGACTATGTCTAACCTTGACAAAGGAGGACACAGACTGTGTTAGTCAAAATGTAGGCGTTACTGTTCTTACAATCAGCCCTGGTCATTACATTTGATGTGGATATTAAAGTTGACGGAACATCCCAGTTAATCAAATGTTTTATTTATTTTTTTAACTTACCAACAAATAAAATTCTAGGCACATACTGCCCATCTGGCGCAAGGTTTTTATCTGTAGTTTCATGCTGACAAGAAAAGAAGATATGTTACAAAGTCTTTAGTGGTTAAAATTAGGTTTGTGCTACTTAATAAACCTTACATTAGGAATACACACTAATGGGTCAAAGAATGAAACACTGTGAAATCTATGAACAAGATAAATGTAAGAAAAACAACCTATATTAACAACCTTAAGGACCAAACTTCTGGAATAAAAGGGAATCATGACATGTCACACATGTCATGTGTCCTTAAGGAGTTAAAGGAGAACTCTAAGTATCCTGACCACCAGAGTTTGTTGTAGTAATTATGGTGCTCTAAACCTGTGCTACAATCATTCAGAGCTGTTTGACAAGACGCAGGCCTCTTTCTTGCACACTCTTTTTTGTTTGATAGACACCTGGTAACAGGGACCAGAGAGTTAGACCACCATAAATACTAAATCAGGCTACAGTGTTTATGTAACCAATGTATTTCTTTATATGGTTCATACTTACATTAAAGCTCAATTGTAAACATTGATTAATGTAGTATTCGTTTTACAAATATGTATGTCATATTCTACATACATTATAATTATCATTCAAGGTCTTTCAAGCTCCTCAACAAAAAAAATTAATAATGGACGCTCATGCCTTGCTTCAAATTCAGGAGAAAAATATATATTATAAAATGTTTTCCTGCCAGTAGATTAGTACATGTCAAATAATTACTCCAAAATGAAAATCCATCACATGGCAATAAAAAGTGAGACACAAAATAGGAATATGTGATCAATAACTATTACTATTTTTCAGTCTTAATGCAGCGTTTGGGTCGATGATTTACTCCAATCAAACCATCATACACAAATATAATATCTTCAATTAAATCTGCAGTATGACTAGTATTTATAGAAATAGTAGTTTAGAAACTCACAGAATTAACTTACCATGATATTTAACATTATAAATTTTTCAATTGCTAATTCTTGGGCTTCATTGCTATCAGAAAAAGCTTTCTTTAATCCTTTTAAGGGAAAATATAATAATTATTTAATGAAGCATGATTGTCTTTCTGAATTAATCTCTCATTATCCAAATCTAATTGTTCACAACAAGACTAAATATTCTGTACAGTGCTAAAGAATACAATAAATGCATGGAAATATCATTTAATACACCTTTATAAGCCACTGACACCTTTTTTACTATTTACAACATATCCGTGATGAAGAATATAAATGGATTGCAGTAGTGTGTGCATGTGTTTTGAAGTAGAATATAAGCTTAAATGCAGCATTCTCAGAACCCCCTGTGCAAAATGTTTGTACCTGATGATTTTGACAATATGAAAGATAAGCATAATAATAATAATAATAACAAAGTGTTTAACCAGGAAAGGCACATTCAGATTACTCTGGTTTATAAGTACATCCTGGGGATGTTACCTTAGCCCAAAATCCAGGGGTTGTTACTATTATCCAATTTAATGGTACTCATTTTATCTATTTTGGAAGGATGAAGGGCTGATTCAACCCTGCCAGGATTTGAACCTGTGACCCAAGGGTTGAACAAATTCTACTGATGATGCATTAGCCCACTGAGGTAGATATACATAAGAAGAAGTATGTAAAAAATCATGTATTGTTACACACAATAAATATATAATGTAGATAAAGACAAGTTCAACTTTAACAAGATTCCATTAGCTGGGAAAAACTAAAATAGCATAAACTGAGATTCTTAACAATAATAATGACCAAAAGCACTTAATTTAGTGTAAGTACTAGTGTAAATATTACAGTGTAAAGAGACATTATAATAACAAACTAAACATTTTAAGCAAAAAAAAAAAGTCTTGAAAGCTACCAGACCGAATGTTTATATGTAACTTATTAACATTATCAAAGAAGGGATTTCTATCTTGTATTGCAATAAAGATAGAAGATCGAAAGTGGAACTAGATAGGGAAGCATGACGGATGTGTGATAGAACACAAGGAATCACGATTACAGTTGAAATTCATTTGAATTGCAGAGGGAATAAGTTATAGCGACATTCTGCTCTTTTGCTATAATAGTAATCATTTAATTATTTTCAGATCTTAGTAGTGAATCAGCTAATCTCGGATGCCTGCCAAAGAGACTGACATTCTTCTCAGTTTCATAATGGAATGACTAGTGATTAGAATGGCATTTAGGGTTAAAGCCACCAAGGGTATCAACTACAACAAGAGCACATTATATAATGGAACCTTTCTCACAGTTTAAAAGTTGTAAAAATCACTAGGTTTGTGCACTTTATTACATGAATAGGGAATCTTTTTATATACAGGATTGATCATTATAAACGTATATTTGTAATTATACCGTTATTATTTTCTCAAGCTGTTCTGATGACATGTAGTAAAAAAACAAACTATTAAAGAAACACTATAGGGTCAGGAACACAAACCTGCATTCCTGAGCCTAACACGTCTAATCCACCATTTAGGTGACTTGCCCTCCCCCCGAGCCCCTTTAGAAAAGGTGAAAATGCACCTTATTTCCAGCGCAGCGCGGGTCCGCCGATGCTGGCCCTGCCCCTGATCGGACTCCTGTGCAACAGTGCCCCAGAAAGCACCTCCAATGGCCATTCGAGGAGTGGCCACTTTGAGGTGTCCCTAGGGGGAAATGTAAACACTGCCTTTTCACTGAAAAGGCAGTGTTTGCATAAAAATGCCTGCAGGCAATGATTATACTCACCAGAACAACTACACTATGCTGTAGTTGTTCTGGTGACTATAGTGCCCCTTTAATTCTATAATACTGATGGCTAAGCTAGGCACTGCTACTGCTGAGATAGCACAGTTGGTTAATATACTTGCCCATGTGTCAATTAAAACCTCACAGTAGAAAATTTAGTATAAAAAAAAAATCAAACACCCTGTTAAATAGTTATATTGTTCAAACATGTACTAGTAGGCTAACATTATAGATTTGGGTTTTACTCCTGAGTAAATTGAATGATTCATTAGACAGCTAAACATGAAACATTTTCAAGAAATATTACCTTGGCAATACTGACATTCTTCCAAATGGTGAATTACCATCAGAGGTTTATTACTGAAAAATAACAAATATATCAGAATACATAAATGTTTGTTTCGGTTTATAAAATGTTCTGTATTGTAATAATTTATTTTCACCAAACAATTACGATAAGAGAAGTCATTTAAATAAAATGTATTTTGTGTTTTCATTTATAAGGCTTGTTACATATACATTAGGTTTATTCACATGTTTGGATCTACATTACATAAAGTTCTGTGCACTATGATAGGTATACTTTAAAGCGGCACTGTCACAGTCTGGGAACTTTGCATGATTTCAGAGACCCCCGATGATGATATCGCAACTGGGGGTTCCATAGACAGAGCAAATTTCCTGCATCCACCACTGGTGATGGCCGGGAGATTGACATTTCTAGACGACGGTCTAGAATTGTCTGGCCTAGGAATAATACTGAAACAAGGTAGTCCCTACTTTTTCTCAGTATATCTTTTCACTGGGTTGGAATTGCAGTTAAATTCCAACAAAGTCAACATGAGTATTTCATAATGATTTTTTATTTTCAAAAAACATGTTTTGCTGGGGAGGGTGTGTGTTGGGGGAGGGGAGGGGGGGTTGATAGTGCCGCTTTAAGTTAGAAAATTCTGTACAGGTTATAAAAATATCAGGATTATTTTTACATAAATGCTGTAAAAATCTGCCATCTTTTTTCACAGTACTTAAAATTAACCCCTTAAGGACCAAACTTCCAGAATAAAAGGGAATCATAACATGTCACACATGTCATGTGTCCTTAAGGGGTTAGAGATTACATGTAATAAACAGATAAAAGGCTTATATGGAATGAATAAACATTATCGGAGGGAATTTATTCCAGGCCATTTTCAGAAACAGCATTGTACATTGTAACATAAGTTCTATCAAGGATCCCACACTCTGGTGGGGACGCTGGGGGGAACTTCCATAGACCTCCATTTTGAACTCTCATGCATGTTTAGGAGTAAAACAGTGAAGAGGGCTACTCGAGAATGAAGCAGCAAAAGACTGATCGCAGAAGAAGACAATGCTATCCAGATAAATATATATCCCTGGCCTTCTCTCCCACATATCAAGTGGCCATGTCACCCTGAGGGTCCTTTGCAACATCTGCAAAGACCTTGAAAGTAACCAAGCTGTTTTAAAATTAGAAGGGGTCTAAGATAAACAAATTGTGCTGTAAGTATCACATGCATTGACATCATATCCTCAGTGCAAGTCACAGACAGGCAGTATTGCGTGATAAAATTCACGTTGCCATTTCACTGTTCCCTACTTCTGCTGTGTAAAAGATTTCCTGCCGTTGGTGTTGTACCTACAGAGAGATTGCACGGTTTCACATTTCCAAAGACAGTCGAAGCAATCCAAGGAATCCACAAAGCAAGTGCGCATTAAACTTCGGCTCTCTGCATGCATATATCAAAATGATTGAATGTACAGGGAGTGCAGAATTATTAGGCAAATGAGTATTTTGACCACATCATCCTCTTTATGCATGTTGTCTTACTCCAAGCTCTATAGGCTCGAAAGCCTACTACCAATTAAGCATATTAGGTGATGTGCATCTCTGTAATGAGAAGGGGTGTGGTCTAATGACATCAACACCCTATATCAAGTGTGCATAATTATTAGGCAACTTCCTTTCCTTTGGCAAAATGGGTCAAAAGAAGGACTTGACAGGCTCAGAAAAGTCAAAAATAGTGAGATATCTTGCAGAGGGATGCAGCACTCTTAAAATTGCAAAGCTTCTGAAGCGTGATCATCGAACAATCAAGCGTTTCATTCAAAATAGTCAACAGGGTCGCAAGAAGCGTGTGGAAAAACCAAGGCGCAAAATAACTGCCCATGAACTGAGAAAAGTCAAGCGTGCAGCTGCCACGATGCCACTTGCCACCAGTTTGGCCATATTTCAGAGCTGCAACATCACTGGAGTGCCCAAAAGCACAAGGTGTGCAATACTCAGAGACATGGCCAAGGTAAGAAAGGCTGAAAGACGACCACCACTGAACAAGACACACAAGCTGAAACGCCAAGACTGGGCCAAGAAATATCTCAAGACTGATTTTTCTAAGGTTTTATGGACTGATGAAATGAGAGTGAGTCTTGATGGGCCAGATGGATGGGCCCGTGGCTGGATTGGTAAAGGGCAGAGAGCTCCAGTCCGACTCAGACGCCAGCAAGGTGGAGGTGGAGTACTGGTTTGGGCTGGTATCATCAAAGATGAGCTTGTGGGGCCTTTTCGGGTTGAGGATGGAGTCAAGCTCAACTCCCAGTCCTACTGCCAGTTCCTGGAAGACACCTTCTTCAAGCAGTGGTACAGGAAGAAGTCTGCATCCTTCAAGAAAAACATGATTTTCATGCAGGACAATGCTCCATCACACGCGTCCAAGTACTCCACAGCGTGGCTGGCAAGAAAGGGTATAAAAGAAGAAAATCTAATGACATGGCCTCCTTGTTCACCTGATCTGAACCCCATTGAGAACCTGTGGTCCATCATCAAATGTGAGATTTACAAGGAGGGAAAACAGTACACCTCTCTGAACAGTGTCTGGGAGGCTGTGGTTGCTGCTGCATGCAATGTTGATGGTGAACAGATCAAAACACTGACAGAATCCATGGATGGCAGGCTTTTGAGTGTCCTTGCAAAGAAAGGTGGCTATATTGGTCACTGATTTGTTTTTGTTTTGTTTTTGAATGTCAGAAATGTATATTTGTGAATGTTGAGATGTTATATTGGTTTCACTGGTAATAATAAATAATTGAAATGGGTATATATTTGTTTTTTGTTAAGTTGCCTAATAATTATGCACTGTAATAGTCACCTGCACACACAGATATCCCCCTAACATAGCTAAAACTAAAAACAAACTAAAAACTACTTCCAAAAATATTCAGCTTTGATATTAATGAGTTTTTTGGGTTCATTGAGAACATGGTTGTTGTTCAATAATAAAATTAATCCTCAAAAATACAACTTGCCTAATAATTCTGCACTCCCTGTATGTGTACATATGTATAAGGATGAATGTACGCTGAAAAATACTCACAGGGACTCCTGTGAGGTCATGTAAGGGAGTTTTCCATTAGGTGCCATAAAATAGGAAATATATTGAGGAGCATAAGGGGTTTCACTTGGCAGGTACCCAGAGTGACATCATCATCAAAGCCCCAAATGTTCTTTAAAATTTTGTCATAGAAAACACTAAGTAAAATATGTGGATTACACCAAATGAGGTAGATTGTATTTCACTATGTGTTCAACAAACACATTGCAAAAATAAAAGCTGCTTAGGGTACAAAAATATGACTCTAGTGTTCCACAAGATCAAAATAAGGGTTCCGCAGCGATTTGCCCATCGGGTGGCCCAAGCATTTAGGGCAACCCGATGGGTATTGCTAAACAGGGGTTTGGTCAGGTGCCACGGTCATCTAAGACCGCGACCAGACCCCTGTAGTATTGGATGCTGGGAGGAAGTGACAGCACTTCCTCCCATACAGGGCGCGCCGCCTAGGGAGGGAGAGAGAGAGCAGCGGGGACTGAGCAAACCCCAACCCCAGCCAGCAGCACTGAAGACGCTCCTGCAGAAAAAAGGTAAGTAAACAGCAAATTGAAACATATGTGTATGTGTCTGTGTGTGTGTGTACCTGTATCAGTGTGTGTATCTGCCAACGTGTGTGAATCTGTGTGTGCATGAACCTGTGTCAGAGTGTGTATATCTGCCAATGTGTGTGAATCTGTGTATGTGTCTATGTGTGTGTGTACCTGCCAACGTGAATTTGTGTGTATATGTACCAGTTTGTGTATCTGTGTGTCAATGTGTGCATCAGTGAGTGTATATGTGTGTGCATGTGCTAATGTGTATCTGTGTGTCAGTGTATGTATGTGTGTGTATTTATCAGTGTGCATGTGTGTGTGTGTATGTGCCAATGTGTGTATCATTGTGCCAGTGTGTGTGTGTGTGTGTGTGTGTATCTGTGTGCTCAGGTGTGTGTATCTGTGTGTCAGATGTACATCCACATTTAAAATCCAACACTACATCCAAATACTCCTCTGCACACAAATGCTAACATTCCATACAAACACATCCTTGTATTAAAACGATAAAATTACATACAAACACCAACTCTACACACAAAAACACACCTGCTCCTAAGTACTGCAATCTGTTTACTATCTGTAGAAATTAGTGTGTGTATATATAGGCAAAACAAAATTGCAAAATTTGCTAATTGAAAGGTTTATGCAACGGTGCAAAATATTTTTTTGGGGGGTGTGGTTCCACGATGTTGATACCCTATGTTAAAGGGTTAAAGGGTTCCATGGGAAAAATTAATTGGGAACCCCTACTCTTGATAGACGTACCTTTTTTTTGCATTGTATAGTCCTTCTTCATAAGTTTGTGTCCATGTAATATCATTCCCCCATCCTGAAAAAATAAATAAATAGAACATTAAGCTGTTTTTTGTTGTCAGTGCAAATACAATACAATATGGCCCTGATATTTTTAGATAGGCTTCTCAATCTGTTAGAAAAAAAAATGTCAAATGATTTATCTCTAAGTCACCACTGAGCTCTGAGGAAGTTTAAGGTAAATCATTTGAAACATTTGTTTTCTAACAGAAAGAAATCATTTCAGATTCAAATAAATTAAATAGAGGCCATTGTGATCATTTGAAAAACTCATCCAAAATATGAAACCATCTCCTTTGGGACCCGCTGCAGCATCGTGGCAAGTGCATTCAAGAGCTGAAACGCGCTCAAGATGGCGGCTGCCTTACATCATCAGAGCCCACAACTCCACATTCTGTCAGAGTTGGACAGGATCTTTAAGGCTCTTATCGACCAAGCTAGCCAGCAGACAGCAAAGCTCCACAAACATACTGATCCCCGGTGACGCACTCATGCTGACAAGGGATGCACCTGACTCTCCCTGATGCAGGTCTCCCACGTCCAAGGTGGGCACGGCACCGAGTGGAATGCCTGCACAACCCGCTGAATGCACCTGCTATCACCGGTTATCTTGGACACCTCAGAGCCAGCACTCTAAACAACCCAACAGGGTCAATCATCATACCAGCACTCAAGGCTAGTCTTCTCAGATTGGCACTGTCCTTTTGAGATCGGCTTTGTTGGGGTTGCATTATCGGGGGGAAAGAAGGCCTGCTGGATCATGAGCTGGAGGCTATTAGGCCTCAATCTACTCTTAGACCACTATTTGTCCTAACGCTCTACGGGTCCCAGTATATATTGCTATGTCTTTAAATGCAGTTCTATGCCTCAGCATGTTTCTCTCTTTCTTTGCCCCTTTTGCTTAGACCTGTGTTTCTGATATTCTTCTATATTACTATAAAAAGAGTGCAGTATCCTCGACAACCCATGATTTATTTCTGCCTATTGTATATGTCTTTTGAGAAATGTCTACTCTAGTCTGCACTACAAAAATAATGAATTATATAAAAAAAATCAAGGACACGTTAGCACTCTGCATGTTACTTGTTTTGTCTCAAAGGAGACCTAATCATAGATCACTTAATCACAGAGAAGCCTCACCCACTAATATTTAAAGGGGTTGCCACACCTTCCATTTAAACTGAAAGTTAATGCTATCAATACCAAAATCAAATCAACGTCAAATAAGAGCACAGGAAATAAACTTTAAAAAAAAATGAATGGGGTTAAAGGGACACTACACAATGCAGTAGAATTAATTACACTTATTATTAATGCATCAGGCAGCAAACTTAAATATGTAACAAAAATATTGTAATCCACTCAATAATACTTTTTTCATTTCATAAATGACTATTTAAATAATCAGAATCACAATTGTAGGGCTAAAATGCTTTATAATCAATTATTTTAAGGAAGATAAGGAAAGAAATTAATTCTCACTGTATTTTAATTTGAATGCCCTTGAAAATATGTAATTTTATTCTGATAACTGAAAGGAATTAGCAGAATATTACATGATATATTTTATGCAAATATAAAACATATTAGCACATTACAGTAAGCCAATCTGCACTGGGAGTAATAGCCACCTAGAAAGATAACTATTCTCTCCAATTTGGGTAATTAAACATCATCATTGCTAGGTTCCAGAAACACCTGGGGCTTTGTCACAGATAACTACAACCAAAAATGCAGAACTTAAGGTAAACAAATATAATTGTAACGGGAGAAAATTTGTACTATTGGGCCTTAAAGTGGCAGGACTGAAAGCAAAACAGAGTAGTAAAAGGCAAGCTGAGTCAGGAAGACATAAAGCAGAATAAAAAACAAATAAACTTGAGTTTAAATAGCTCTAGTATCTAGGAAGGCAAGGATTGGTCAAAATTGACCTTGTGATGCTAAAACATGCATGCGTGTCAATGACATGTTTATGTCACTTCCGTCATGTTCAGTGATGGGGCTACACAGTTTCTTAGTGGCAGATGTTCGGTCCGAACATCATAGCATCTGGAAGCTGCATAGAGAGCGGACTGGAGGGGAATCTGTCATGAGGTAAGTAAAACAGAGGGGCTTCTTTTAGCGTGACCTTGCAGACCGGGTGATCGCACCTTACCAGCGCAAGGACAGGCTTGAGCCTAAAGGACAACTTGCTAACCCCTACACTAACAAAGAGTTGAGGATATGTTATGACATATCCCCTCTACTGTCTGTTGTGTCCCCTCTCTTTACCCACTAGGAGCATGCTACTAATGCCCTTCAGGATCCAGGGGTCAAGAAATGGGAAAAAAAGTTTAAGTACTCACCTAAGATTTCCACCAGCCCTCCAAGTGTGTATGTGAGGTGGTGTACTGCATTTTTGTAGGGAGTGTACTGTGTGTGGGCAGCAGTGGCGTACATACCGCGGTGTCAGGGGTTGCAGATGGGACCCGGCAGCCCTGCGGAACCCTGTGACTGGGTGCCTGCCGCCATGTGTTGCGGCCCCGGCCCGCATGGTATAACCACCGGGGCCGCACGTTAAGTGCCATGCTGTTAGAGCCACTTGTTGCAAACTCCTGTTTATAACTGTTTCTTTAAGTGACAAATTGCCCTGTTCCCCTGGATTATGGAGAAGCCTCATTGCCAGCCTTCTGCCCCATGACTATGGACCTAGTGTGTATGGCCCTTTAAGAACCGTCTGTGGGCACATTGTGACTTTGGTGAACAATGCCCCTTTAAGACTATATCACCAGACCTGTAAAATAACTTGTTCGTGCCTTTTTCCCACTTGGTTCAGTAAATGGGGCTTACTGAACCAAGTACCACACAGGCGGACCACCCAGAAGTGGAAGTGTGCCGTCAATTTACCTCCCAGGCTGGAAGGCTGCCGTAGGTAAATTGCCGACCGCTTGGTGGCAGCCAAATCTATGGAACTGAAATCGCTACACATTTGAACGAACACCGCTGACCCTTACCTTCTCCTCCACTCAGTTTTCAGCCCAGCAGCGGCAGTTCGTAGAGTTTGCAGTACTTATGGTGTCTACGGTGCTGATGGTCCTTTGGTGAGCGCTAGCAGCATCCTTTCTACGGTCCAACTTTCAACTAGCCTGGAGGCAGCCGTAACACCACCCGATGGCTATGGATTTCCAGGGGGCCCGGTCAGCTCTGCGCTGCTTTAACAGCGCGGCCGGGCCCCCTTTGATGACATCACAGCTGGGAGGAAGTGACTGCCCCGTCACTCCTCCCAGCTTACAAAGGGAGCCACGTGGGAGGAAGAGAGGAGGGAGTCAGAATGGGAACTCTGACTCCCATCAGGCTGAGCCACCACTGGACCCCTAGGAAGCCACCCTGCATCTAAAAGGTAGGAAACAGGAGGGTGACTAAAATATTTTGTATATGTGTGTGTTCGTTTGCATATATGTGTGTGTGTCTGTATAAATGTTTTCTCTGTATGTGTGTGTATGTATGTGTGTGTGTATGTCTGTCTGTGTATGTGTGTGTTTGTATGTATGTGTGTGTCTGTATATATGTGTGTGTGTGTTTGTATGTATGTGTCTGTGTGTATGTATGTGTGTTTGTATGTATGTGTCTATATGTATGTATGTGTGTGTGTGTGTGTGTACAGTGGCGTACATGCAGGGGTCACAGCTGTGTCCGGGCCTGTACGCCATGTGTTGCGGCCTCAGCCCGCACCGGGGGAGGGGCACACAGATCAGTTTTCGCACCGGGGCCCCATGGATCATGTGTACACCACTGGTGGGCGGTGTACTGTATGGGGTAGTGTACTGTGTGTATGTGGATGTATTGATTGTGTGTGGGGATTTACTGTATATGAGGGGGGACTTTATGTGGGGGTGTAGAAAAAAATAAAATAACATATTTCCCCCTCCCTGTTTTTACCTTGCAGGTACACACAAGCACTCACTGACACTCCCAGTGACCCATACACACACAGACCTACTGCAGCACTCCTAATGTAAGGACTCCCCACTGACAGGCTTTTGGATATTTTACTAACCAGTAAACACTTTTCATTTGTTTTTGGTTTTGTAGAGCCTAATTATGGACTAGGCTTGCTAGAACCATGCCTAATACTTAACTAGAGTGGGGTACTCAACCAAGGTCTCAAACATGAGGAAGCAATGTACAACTGGAGGGGAGTGTCTGTCCTGTTGCCTGGTAAATGCCCTTCTTGAACTCCTTATAGAGGCAGCAACCAGTCTCAGCATGACACACACACACTGACCCATACAAACACAAACTGACCCATACACACACAGACTGATCCATACACACACACACTGTAGAATACAAACACAGGCTGAACCTTACACACAGAATGACACATCCATGCACACACAGGCTGATGTTATAAGTAATGTTGAATATAAATACACTAATATCCTACTCACATCGATCAAAGCCTATGAAAATTGCCCATCGCTGTCTAAAATTGTGGGGTAGTTGTATAAAAGTTGGAAAAGGTGTAAATGTTATAATAACAACAAAAAGTAAGTTAAATTTAGATTTGGTCCATGAGCTAATTTAGTAGTCAAAGTAAAAATCAAAGACCTCTGTCATTAACAGCAAAATATTTATAATACCACCTAATGTTTACCCTATTCATTCCTTGAAATTGAAGATCATTAATATGGCCCTATGTGTACTCAAAGGTTTATTATTGTTTGATGATATTGAGTTGAGATGTTCCCTCAACCTTGCTTTGAGGGTTCATTTGTGTGTCCAACATATTGGAACTTATAAGACCAACAGGTGATAAGATAAATATTGCAAGTGAGGTGGAGACATTTGTAAAAAGATATTACCTAGTTACTGTTGAAGAACACGTATTATAGGTACCATTAACGGGGCAACACTTACATCTATAAATAAGGCAAGGGAAATTACCTTGCTGTGATGCATGGTTACTAGATTGGGTTAAATAATATTTTCCAGTGTTAGAGGCCTGCTGCTTGAGAACCTACATCACTTTTTAATTAGGGTTTTTGCAATTCATTACAGCTAAAAATAATGGTAAGAGATTCCATTACAGTATTACAAAGTTGCTTGAAAATTGACACTATAAGCAGTATTCAAAATAGTTCATTCTTGTAAATTTGAAAGTAAGATCATAATTGCCTTGTCACATAAATAACAAATCATCAGTAATTCTTCAACAATTCATGATAGTCTTAGAAGAGGTTGGCATCTCCAAAGATGTTGGAGGCCTCCCACCAACCTGGACTAAGGGCAAATTTGTTATCCTCATGGAAGTCCAATAACCCACCATAACACATAAAACAATTGTGAGCCAGCGTTTATCCATTTCCTCGAGAACCATTTTAGGGGTAAAGCTGGAGCATTAGGAAACAACATCAGTGGTTAGCCACTTATATCCAGTCTTTCACTAAAAAGGGTCAAGTTTCAGTAAGAGAGGTTTGGTAACTCTCACATAACTTTGTAACATAATGACAATAAGGTTAAGATAATAATCAACCTGTTGAGGTCACTTTTTACATGGAGGCTATATGAGAAATATTGAGTGTCCCACTGGATGTTTTGATGGTCTTGGGTAGGCAGTGGAAACCGGGAGTAATAAAATGTAAATTGATCGTACATTCCACCTCTGTAGGGGATAGTACACCCCCAAAAAAGCCTCCAAATTAATAAATAAACATGCTATTCTTTTCTGTATTACTAACAGTTGATAATATGACTTTGAGCCACGCTAACTGTTAATAGACTTTTGTCTGAACTAGATGTCTTTGAGTCCAGACCCGAATGAATCGATTGTCCAGCATTTACCTATGGAGTCTTATTCAATTAATATAACGCCACCGGTATATCCCAGACAATCATTTTCTATGGGTGTGGATTAAAGAAGAGTCTGACAAACTGTCAGTAGCAAACTTTTGCACAAGTCTAGTTGTTATCAGCTATTTATATTCTGCCTTTCTGATGGGGTTTAAAATTCACATGAATGTCTATCTTTGTACTGTACCAAGACTGTGATTGATTCAATATACTTTAATATTAAGAAGATTGCACTTTTCATATTATATATTCATTTTTATTGAACATTATGTGCGGTTGAATAATTAATTTGTGTAATTCCAATATTTTGGGTTCAGAATAAGAATGGATTTTCCTACTTTTTTAAAAAAAATTTGAGGTGCATTAACATGCAATTTAACTCTTTGTGCTGCATTGGTTTTATAGTGTTCCTGCAGACAATGTTGTGGCCTCGTTGATAATAAATTCTTCTTTTTTTCCCCTTTTGTTCTTATTTTACATTAGTTTGATTTTGGTATTGGTAGGGTTAATGTTCAGTTTAATTAGAGGGTGTGGAAAACCTCTTTAAATATTGATGAATCTTTTCTGTGATTAAGTCTATGATTAAGTCTCATTTGAGTGATGTAATTGCCTGCCTGTTCTTATAATATTTTGCTTTTTAAAAATTTCTATGCCGTAAATAGTTAATTTTAGAAGTCAGCTCAGTATAATAGTGTAGCTGCCATTCCTTTGTAACTTGCTACAGTCTATCATATTTGACAAACTCTGGTGCTGACACGGTGCCAGTATTGTATCTACGGTTTGCTTGTTTAAAGTCCGGCCTTTGTTTGTATAATTTCACCGAAGGGGTTGCTATCCATTACTAGTCACTGTTAAATCGAACTCCTTTTGCTTAGGTTAAATGAAAATGATGGCCATGATATGGAAATTCAATCTGCTTTGGTTTTATTTGTCAATTCTGGGGCTTGTTCAAACAAATATGTTCATTTCATCTGAATTAATCCAAAATGTTTTATATTGCCCTAAATACATTGGAAAGAATGTGTGGCTGTAAAAATGCTCTGGTTCAGTAGCGATAGTCCTGTATCATTTATAGTTAAAATAGCTTAAAGGGTCACTACAGGCCCCTAAAAAACTTTAGCTTGCTGAAAAGCTTTCTGTGTGAAAAGGATGTCCTCTTTTTTTCATTTTGCAAAAAGTGCAGATTTTAATAGAAACTGACACTTTTATAAATTAACCAGACAACATGTAATGCTACTTCCTGGTTTGGTTAGCTCAGTGGAACTAAATTAAAGAGGCAGCAATTGCCCAGAGCACCCGCCTTGGAAAAGGCTTCTAATTGAGCTGCATTTGAGAGTCTATGATTGGACAGCCACAGAAAGTCTGGGAGGGATTAGAAGGGGAGGGATTGCAAATACAGCAGACAAGAGAACTGCAGATTGTGCAAGCTGTTTGTAGGTATACCCCAAAGAAAAAATGCATAATTAAATGCATGCATGTTTTCATTTGGGGTATATCTATCTGACAGTGATTTTGATTTATTTTGTATTTGGGCAGTGGAGTGTCCCTTTAAGTATGTTACATTTGAAATGATGAAAATATATGTTACTAGACCTCTTGACAATGTCTGTGGAGGACGAGTCTCTTTTTTGACTGCCATAGCTAAGTTTGTTGAGAAGACAAATAACACAAGTGACAAGGTCAGCATTGATGGAAACATTGTGCCTTCCGTGGTCCTTTTATAAATATCTGTTAAAACACAAATAGAAAAAAATACACCATCATTCATTCATTTTAATGAAAATATTCCAAAATAATTAGCAAACGTTTTGACAACAATTACAAGGAACATCATGGTCTATTAAACGGTGACCTACTACTATTGTGTGTGCATTGTGTTGATTGCCTCTTTATAGCTTGAATTACAATACAGTCCAAAATGGATGGTGTCACTTTGTACTCAATAGCCATACTTTCAATCCAGCCCAGTTTTCTTAGAACTGATTAATATAGGTAAGGACTTCCTGAAGCCTAAATCGTGTTAGCCTATCTGTTTTACTGTGCACATAGTGATTCAATAATTTGTTTTTGTTGGAGCATTTGATGAGTCTCCCCCCCCCACCCCCGTCCCCTGGCAATTGCACAGTAGTTCTTCCCCAGTGTCCACACTTAGTTAGGGGAATAGAGAAGCTAAAAGCATTTAATAATATGACACATGGTTTTAGGAATTCTCAGCATCTTCTGACATTTTAGATATCAGGTGTATCATTAATGATAGAATTGGTACCCATTTCATTGTTTCAAACAATCCCTTTTAATACATGATTTCTAAGTTTTAAATTCTAGTCTTAAGAGGATTGTAACTTGTATCATCTACTGTATTTTCCACACAATTGCGGACTTTTGTGTTAGAAATCCTGATCTGGTATCAAGTGATATGTCAGGTCCCACAGAACAATAAAACTTTGTTTTGAGAAATGGCTCATTTTTTACATCCAGATTAAAGGTAAACCCCCAAAGATATACAACATATCTAGTTTCTAGCCATGTTAAGAAGATACTGTTCTATAGGGTACTGAACAAAGAATTGATTATTCAATTGAAACATTCAATATAGTTAGCAAACATACTGAAACTTTGCTGAGGGTCTCATTTATTTTTATTGTTGTCACTTAGCATGCGTGTCATTTATGTTAGTCATGCACAAAAAATGCAAGTAATAGTTTTAATATAAATACAATATCAAATATAACAAAATAAATCATAAGAAATATTTTTTATCAAGACAAAATAATTAATTTCATCATGTGATTGTTGCCTTTATTCGTATACAATTTGTTATAGATTAGACATTTTCCATAAATTAAAGTTGTATATATAACAAGTGTTAAACATATTTGAACTAATTGTAAATATATGCTATGTGTATTTTCTTTTAATGGTAAATGTGAATATTATGGTTCGTTCTTTTCCAACATACTGCAGACATTTTGAAAAAATATAAAAAGGTAATTGCTATATGTATTATGATGACACAAGGTTTAATAAAAAGAAGTAAGAAGTAATTATTCCTTTTCCTTATATAAAGTATTCCTCAATACAGTAAAGGAGGCTACTACATTTAAAAGAAGAAAACAAGAGGACTATCACAACAAGAGGACATAGTATTAAACTAGAGGGGCAAAGGTTTAAAAATAATATCAGGAAGCATTACTTTACTGAGAGGGTAGTGGATGCATGGAATAGCCTTCCAGCTGAAGTGGTAGAGGTTAACACAGTGAGGGAGTTTAAGCATGCGTGGGATAGGCATAAGGCTATCCTAGCTATAAGATAAGGCTAGAGACTACTGAAAGTATTTAGAAAATTGGGCAGACTAGATGGGCCGTATGGTTCTTATCTGCCGTCACATTCTATGTCTCTATGTTTATAAATTCAGTCCGTCCTCTAGCTACCTTAAATTGTATTGTTTATTTGTTTTGTAGGGTAGGTTTACACATTTCTTAAAGTTAAAGACTTTCTTGTATCCGCTGCTTGTTTAGTATTTTAACCGCAGATAGCAAATTGTAATAAAACATTTTTTGCACATTGATTAAAGGTTAAAGAAAGCTTACTAATGGCACGCTGCAACTGCTCATTCCATCACAGACACATTCACTAAAGTGTTAATCACATAAAATGAATCATGATAGGATTTTTGAAACTGGAATAATAGCTACATTTAAATATGTACAGTGAACAGTCATCTATGTAATAAGCATAAACTAATATTTTTTTAATTAAAGATAAAGCCTTTTTTTTTTTTAATAGTGTTCTGATTCAAAACTTTTATTTAAGATGTTACGTGAATATGTATAGTCTAATTTCCTATTTCATATTGCTAACTGAAATTAATTTTTATAATACAATTTTTGCAGATATGCTGAAGAATAGAATGTTATAAAATAAAAATTAGTTTAAGCATCAATCAAGAAAAAGCAAAGACCGGCTTGAACTGAGATTATATCCACAAAACACAACAAAAGTTCACTGAAAACGCAAGTGATAAAAAAAAAAAGTGGACAACTTTATGCACAATTAAGCTTAGTATAAATTTTAGGGAGTCAAAGTTATTTTGCAATATTGTCATTTTTAATTAATGACTCCACATAGCTAAAGATTTTGGCCAAATTACCTATTATCACCTTAATTTTGGTATTATACATTTATATATACATATTGGATAGCCATACTTTACTTTTATGTCTACAGAGTAGGGAAGGCATAAACGGATTGAAACAGATGTAAGCATGACATATTGATCTGTAAGTAACACTATAGCTAAATATGGTATACATGTTCCATAATCATCTTCCAGCCTTGTTGGACGCACTTGTGCACGTATGAACTGTATGACAAGTGTGTGATCCTGAGACATAAAGCACGCGTCTCTATGTGATAACTAAGGCTTCCCTAAACTCCGGCCCTCCAGATGTTGCTGAACTACAACTCCCATGATTCTCAGCCTATCTGTTTCATTCATAGAATCATGGGAGTTGTAGTTCAGCAACATCTGGAAGGCCGGAGTTTGGGGAAGCCTGTGCTAACTGGTCAAAACATCCAGTCAAGACGGACTGTCGGTATTTTATCGAACATCATGATACATTTAACATCTCCGATATTCTTTACCTTCATGTTATAAAATAAACTTTCGGTGTGTTTTTTAAACTTGTTTTCAAGACTTTAACTAAAATAAGTCTATTTTATTGTTGTATTGAGAGACTCTCAGGTTTATCTTCTAAAGTGTGAAGTGTCAGAAATTGAAAGTGAATTTTCAGATTTTGGTCAAGGAAAGACATTCTGAAACATAGCTGACTTAAAAAAATTCCAATTATGGTATTTTGGTCTAAAATGTCAAATTCTTGAATTCCTGTAAAATCACACTTTAGTTAATAATCCTGTCTATAAAGCAAATATTTTCCTTTTCTCTCTTTTTGTGGCTAACTTAGCAAAATTAATTTTGTTTCATGGGACATAGGATAAAAATAGATCAATCTACAACAAATACCTCCTAATCAAAAATAAGAATTAAAGAGATTTTTTTTACCAATGCGGTTTTGATTAAAAAAGTAAAATGATCTACTTACCATTCTTAATGATAAATTAGAAAGTCTGTCTGTGTTTCATCACAATGTATTATTTAATTTATGTTGCAAACTTTAAATGTTAAGCAAAGAAAAAAGTTGACTTACATTGGGTGAGTCCTTGCGATCAGATTCTTTCTAAGTCAAACAGCTTAGAAAGGAGTGTTTTATAGACGGACATTGGACGGAGTTGCACCTTCCAATTACTATGGCAACAAGGAAATCTTTACCTGTTTATTTGTTCTCCCGAGTTCTCATGGCTGGAACACAAGATACATTGTTTTCCCTCCTCCATGCTTACGATCATATAACATTCAATGAGGAAGCAAGTAAAAAAGACCTGCATGTGTATTTTATTTCACGATATTCAGGTACAGCTTCAGGAAATCTGAAACCAAAGTGGTCCTCTTGTGCACCTGTTGTCTATAGAAAATATTTTTTACTTCACTGGTTCTTGCAAAAACACAACACGCAGAAATTATATTATATCGATAAAAAAAAATTACAAAGATTTTCAAACAATAGCTTCTGGTGGAATAAAAATGTAAGGTTTACGAAAGAATTGCTTTGTTTCTAATCTATTATTGTAATATTGCCCTATACTTTTTTAGTTAGATTTAAAATATGTCCACATTTTGCAAGAGATACAAGATCGATGGGTTACTCCAAGCACCATGAACACTTCATTTATTTGAAGTGGTCATTGTACTTGGAGTCTGAGCACAGAGTCAGTTTGAAACATTGCACATACAAAGTTAAAACCAAGCGCTGCTGGAAGTTTAATTCCACCTCTGGCAGCGTCATTAGCCAGCTTGGCTAGTTAGCCAAGGTAATGTCAATTATGTGCGTATTTGGCATCTGTCGTCAGCTCACATAGCATGCTACTGACAGAAAGCCAATGTTGGCAGCTGTCCCATCCTAGTGCTACCCAAATCTTCACCACAGCCCATCCCTCTCTGACATCATCAGAGGAGGATCAGGCTGCAGGGAGAACTTGGCTCCAGCGCTGGATTGAGCTTCACGATTTTTAAAATGTTTAACATTTTTATACAAATTAATTTTCTCACTGTATAAAGTATATTGCAGTTAAAGTAGATCAAAGTTAAATATGTTATACTGCTTTTTAAATCAAACTATTTATTTAACCCCTTAAAGGGACACCGTAGGCACTGTATCTGCTTCATCTCATTAAACTGGTTATAGTGTATGGAGTCCCCTGGTACCATAATTTATTTCAGCATTAAACAGTTTTTAATGTTGTAATGTTTTAATGCTAAACAAAAGTCCACGGCAGTCTATCCCCTCTGTGCTGCTTTGGCTAATAAGGAAGTATTACCCTGAGAGGCAATGGGCAGCTGTGATTGGCTGAGTGTGTCAGCTGACTGCTTTTAACCTGTCAGAGCTCCAACTGACCGTATGAATGGGTATGACAACAAGGAAGGCCACTCCAGGCACTATAACCAATTCAAAGACACAAAGTGGTTATAGTGACTACAGTGTCCCTTTAAGGATGGCGGGCATTCTATGCCGTCCTTAAGGAAGTGGCTCTAAACGCCGCAGGGTGGCATAGAACGCCCAAACCGTCCTTTGTACTTACCCGGTGATTGCACTTACCCGTTGATTGCGGTATGGGGACTCACCTGGGAGCCCAGGGAGTCCCCCTCCGTCCTTTTCGAACCCCCTGGGCCATGTGATCACATGGATGGCATAGCCGTCCATAACAATGCCAGCAGGGGGAGTGCCTGTAATGGTACTCCCCCTGCTATCTGAAAATAAATAAAATAAAAGTTAAATCAGTGTACAATTTAATGATATATACTTAGATCATATATATATTTATTATATATATGATCTAAGTATATATATATATACACATATACACACATACACATACACTGTCTAAGTGTAGTTTAATATTAATATATATATAATTATAAATATATATTAATATCAAAATACACGTACAATGATATTGATTAAATATATATATCATTTTCGTTATATATATATTTATATATAATATAAAATAAATAAATCTGTAAATACGTTAAAAAATTAAATGAGAAAAATAATAAAAAAATAAAAAAAATATATATGTGTAAATTCGTTCTAACTATTTTAAAATGAATATATATATATATTGATATCAAAATACATGTAGAACTAAATGATATATATATCTATATACATAAGTATATACGTATATATCACTATATATACCTATATATAAATAAAAATAATTAAAAAAATTATATACATATATACACATATATATATATATGTGTGTGTGTGTATATAAATATATGTGTATATATATGTATATAATTTTTTAAAATTAGTTTTTTGCATTTTCAAATATTAACACTAATTTTGGCCAGTGCTTGTGACCAAGTGGCTACTAAAAAAGACTGGGCATACCCCATTTGCAATACCTTGGGTTGTCTACTTTTGCAAATAGTATGCCATCATGGGGGTAATTCTCATTCCTGGGCTACCATATGGTCTCAAAGGCAACGTAACCAATCTGGCGAATTTCAATGTGAAAAAACTGAAAAATGTAACATGCTATATTTGACCCTGTAACTTCCCAAAACACCATAAAACCTGTACATAGTGGGTACTGTTTTACACGTGAGACATGAATACACGTGAGACATGAATACAAATATGTGTACTGAACATTTTTAAAAAATTCTTATTTTCTCCCATTTTTTAATATTTTATTCACATTAAATTATGTTTTATAACTAAATATTTGATGTTAAATGACAGCTCTGTTTCCCCTGAATAAAATGATATATAATACGTGTGGGTGCACATAAAATGAGGTGAATTATGCCTGAACAGACATATAGCGTTAATTAAAGTTTTTGTTTACATTTTGTTTTGATCACAACGTGTACATTTGGCTTAGTCCTTAAGGGGTTAAGTATAAAGATGTTGTTATGTCATTACACCACTGGAGACTATTTTCTACAAAGTGCTTAAATCAAGTTACTTAGAGCAGCACTGGAACTATCCAAGTTGCATTGATTTAGGATAATTGCCAGTATGTAATGTGTAAAAGCTTTATCAGAGTATTTTATGGTTGTTAGAGAATGAGTCAGAGAATGTGAATAGGTTCAAATTCCAAACTGGTAAAATGCATGTTAAAATATGACGCCCTCACATAGAGTTATGTTTAGTGGGGTATTTGAGACAGACATTTGAAATATGTGTATATGACATACATACATTTTAATCAATTTACCTACTAACAAATAATGTTACAGTTACTGTATTGGGTAAAGTGTGGAAGTATTATTTAATCACGTACATCCCCTCAAAATTGCAAATGGAAAAGAGAGATCCTATTTTAGGGTGAGGGTTTGGCTAGGGGTGGGTCTGTTCTTTTTTTTAGGAGATTTTTAATAACAATTTTTTGCAACTACAATGTAGGTTGGAACAAGAACAATGTATATTATTTATACATACTGATTTCTAAAGACATTTATTGTAGTTTAAAAACACATTATTAAGTATGATTTTATTAATGTATAGGATTATTAAAAAAACTCTGCAACATACACAAACATCACTCCTCACATACGCACAGCATCTCACACACACAGCACTCCTCACACACAGTACCCCACCACACACAGCACTCCTCACACAGAGCACCCACATACAGCACTACACACACACACAGCACCCCCTCACACACATACACAGTACACAGTACTACACACACACACAGCACCCCCTCCACACAGCACACCCCCACACAGCACTCCTCACACACACAGCACCTCCCCCCACACACACACAGCAGTACTACTACTACTATACGACAAATATATACCAAATTTTTACCTGATACTGCCTAATACAGGAAAATTTCAGAAATAAATTCACTTGATATTTAAAATCTGGACTAATTTCCTGCTGACAGTGCTAGCAACCAGTGTTTGATAAACACAAACCATTGTCAGTTGTCAGTGCAAGGGTTAAGTGGGTGGTGCCAGCCAGCTCTTAATAGCCATCTGCCACAAAAAAAAGTAAAAAAAAAAAAGCAAAAATTATATGTGGTACAGTATGAACTCAACATGCCACAGACAAGTGTATTTCTACTAAATAGAGAGCAATCAGTAACTCCTCAACTAAGTGGCTGGTTGCAAATGTTTGTGGGTTGGATTGCGCCCCTCCCTACCATTCACTCATGGACAGTATGTTGAGAGGCATTAAAACAAAAGCAATTGTCCATAACCCTTACCTCTACCCATGGGCAGAAGGTGGATGTATAAAAACAATGATTGGGGGCGATCGCTATTTTTCCACACCCATGTGCTATAGTTGGAGTGGATTATTGTTAAAAGGAAATGTGTAATTGTCCCCCCTACCCATCCCACCCATTTGCGGCACTAATATAGTAATTAGAGGACACACCAATTATCCCCCTCTTGTCTATGGTTCTCCTTAATAAATATTGCCATCCCTCTGACTAGGAGACCCAAGCCACCACCCAAAATAATTCCTACCAACCACCATCAGACTTGTAATATTGAGGGGGTATAATAAATGTAGAATTTTACACTAGCGGTCTCATGAAAGGTGATGGTAGCTGAATGTCTAACTGACATTGAAAGTGTGGCAAGATCTTTGTAAAGGCCTTTCCTGTCTCAAAAGCTCAGTCTGTGCAGAGCCACAAATGGGCTCAGCTGAACTGTGTTGTTGGGTCATTGTTTTCTTCCAAGTGTGCTTTGTTTGCAAATAGGGTCATTTCACATTATAAACAGTTCATTTTGATAAGGTGAGTTTACAAATGTCTACGTTAGCAATAATCAACCTACTTCCCTGCCCATGGGTGGGGGCAGGGAGGGTTGACAATTGCATGTCTACCCCATTATTATTTTCATACCCCTCACCTGCTGTCCATGGGTGGGTGGTGATGGGACAAGAGCCAGATCCCAATTATACTTTTACAGACCCAATTCCATAACGAGTAGGATGGAGCCTTTAGTGACTAAGCAGCCAGAGAAGTTGGTAATCCATATAACCCCAACTGCATGGCATAAAAGGTGGAACCCCTATTTCCATCTTATTGTCCTATTTCCCGGCACAGAGGATTGGGTGTTAACACTGAAAGAGCTGCTGGTTGCTCTGCGATTAGTAGATAGATAGGGTCTCACCCACAGCATGTTTGGTAGTGGCTAAAAGAAGATAAAATCCTCTTATGTTGTGTTATATTATTTATTATTATATTACCAACCATATGCTTTTATAACTTTAAGTGTGGCCGGTGGCTAGCAAGAGCTGGCCAGTTACCACATACAAAACCCTTGCCC